ACCATATTGCAGACAGTTGGGGCTTAATAAAGCTAAACTTAACGGTTAGAGTAACTTCAGTCCAGCATGAATTGGTAAAGTGTTTCAATGCAGTGCATGGGTGGTGCTTCTTGTATGTTTTAGGACCAATTGCATTAGGGCAGTCTACAAGAGCTGAAATTTTGTCACTCATTTCTAGTACCTTGGTTCAATAATTCATAACAAGGGAGAGATCGAGGAGGATGTTCCAAAGAAATAGAGTAGGACAAGCAAAATAGACAGTTGTAAGGCCAGCTACGTTGTATGGAGCCGAGTGTTGGGTAATCAAGAAAGTGTTTTAAAATACGTGTTTGAGGCGACCTAGGTGCATAGGAAAGGTGTGTTTTAGGGTATGCACCTCACCTAGGTCCCAGGCGCAACACTTCCAAAAGGTGCATGACTGGTGCGCCTAGGCGTGTGCCTGTTGAAAATTTGTACATTTTTTCTGTTGCTCACATGGTTCAAAGTATCGATACAATACGCTCCGTATCGGGCGTATTGTATCGTATCTTTTGAAAAAGATACGTTTCGAAACGCCTGTTTCCAGGTGTTTCGGACCCCCAACTTTTTTTTAATAATATAAAACACGTTATAAGATTCCCCAAAAACCAAAATTTGAAAAAAAACTAAAAAAAAAAGATGTTTTAGCCGTTTCTAAGTACCGATACGATACAGCTGAAATGCGTATCATATCGATACTTTGAACCTTGGTTGCTCATTCATTCATCCTAATAAAAAATATTTTTAAAAGACATTTAAAGTTATAAAAGCTTTTTTATAGGGATTAAGAACTTAAGACCCTGATGTGGACTTGTTTGGGCTTGCCTCAGGGGCCTTTCCTCACTCGTGGAATCAAGAATGCATAATGTTTAACATCACATTAGCTATTTGAAGCAATGCGATTGGGAAAAATAAAGAGATTAAGAGTTTACATGCTTGAATATGTTTTATATGTTATGTTTGCTTTTATTTTTAAATTTTCATTTAAATATGTTATACATGTTATGTTTATATATTTTAATTTGAGATAATAGTTTTTTTAAAACATTTATCTTAAAATTTAATTTTATTCTTTTAATTGTGTTTAATATTTTTAATAGTTTGCATTTTATATTTTTGAATTTTTAGCATTTTTTGCATTTTTGCGCCTTGCTTCAAAAGGGCATGCGTCTTGCCTTGTGCCTTGCACCTTACGTTTTTAAAACATTGGTCAAGAAACAATATGTCCGGAAAATGAATGTGGCAGAAATGCAAATGTTAAGATGGATGAGGGGAAAGACTAGCAAGGATAAGAATATAGGATTAGGAATGAAATTATCCATAGGAACCTAGGAGTAGCTCCAATAGGTGATAAAACAGGAGAGAGTAGACTAAGATGGTTTGGGCATATGCATAGAAGACCACCAACTGCATCCGGTTAGAAGAAGTGATTTGTACACATTAAAGGGGCTAGAAGAGCTCAGGATAGACTTGGGTAGACGTAGTAAGAAATGATTTAAGCATTAATAATTTAACAGTGGATATGGCTTTAAATATAATAGATTGGTGAAACAGGATTCATGTAGCCAATCTCATATAGTTGGGATAGGCATGGGTGGTGATGATGATGATTCTGGGAGTCAATCTATTGTTTTTATTGATTTTCATTTGGTCTTTATTCTCTAGTAGCCCTTGGAATGCTGTTTCATAAAATTAGAGAGAACAACGTTGCAAGGGGAGGTTGGGTCATGAGAAGTAAGCATTATTTTGGGGTTTCTCCAATGTTTAGAGATCTGGACCAGGAATAGAACTGGAGAAGGGAGAGGTTCACGGGTCAAAGGTTTAATCAGGGTCGAACTGGAGGTCGAACCGTGATGACATGACAGTATATGTATATATACTGTTCATGTATTGGGGGAGGTTTCAGAAATGAGGAAGGGAATGCTTTAGCTTTGTTCTGTAGCCCAATTGGAGAGGGTAACGCTCTCAGGGCTGAGATATATGCGGCCATGGAGGGAATCCAAAGAGCAATAGACTTGAACACTAGGAGGCTAATTATTGAAGGTGATTCGAAGGTGGTGGTAAGATGGTTAAATGAAGATAAACCTGGACTGTGGAACTACAACAACGAAAGGAAAAAAGTTCAAATGGCTGGCTAAGGATATTGAGATAAAATACAACTGGGTGAAGAGAACTGCTAATTCCTTTGCTGATGGGCTAGCTAAGCAAGGGGTGAATAGGGATTCTTTGTTTTGGGCTTATTTCTAATTGTGTATGTGTGTGTGTTTTAATTTTTATTTTTTACTTTGCTTGCAGGGGAGTTAAGATGGTTTACCTTCCTCTGATTGTATGTATTTTCTTTTTAATTGAAATTCAATGAAGCTACTTGTTGATAAAAAAAATATGTTCATATACTATGTCATATAAATACTAACAGGGTTATCTGGGGAACTGTAGCCCCCTCAAAGATAAAAATTCTTTATGTGGGTAGTGGCATGGGACAAATGCTTGTCAATAGAAAGTTTGGTGAGAGGGATGGGTTTGGCAGGCACTTTGTACCCTCAAAGATCAAAGTTCTTTAGGTGGGCAGTGGCATGGGACAAATGCTTGGCAATTGAAAATTTGGTGAGGAGAGGGATGGGTTTGGCAGGCAATTTGTGCCCTCCATGTGAACAAGAGACTGAGACATCCAGACACCTTTTTCCTCCATTGCAGATTCTCTACCAGAATTTGGCATCATTTCACATCAGCCATCTCGTTTTAGAGATGTATCCCAGAATCCATTCATGCAATCATGCCGTATTATTGGAATGGCATGTCAAAGGCATGAATAAGAAAGGAAAATGTCTATGGCTGGCTGTTCCCTTGGCATTCCTGTGGGCTATTTGGATTGAAAGGAATGCCAGAATTTTTGAAAAGAAAAAGAATCCAGAGGAGGTGGTGATTAATTTCACTGTTGAATGTCTTAGAGACTGGGTTTCCACTCATAAGTTTTTCGAAGGAGACAGCAGCTCTTCTTTCTTGGCTGTTGTTTTTTTGGGTCCTTAGTACGGGTTGTCTATATGTGCGGAATGTTATGAACACACCACCCGGCAACGCACGGCGGCACAGCCATAGGCAGCAGCACACACAGCGGGCCGCCTAGCGGCACGCACCGCCCGGCAGCGCCGCATAGCAGGCTGGCAGCACGCGGCACATACCGCCCGACAGGGCGCTGCACGCACACGCCCGACACCACACGGCAGCGGCACC